GCACATTTTAAAAATATTTTTGTAATGTACAGGGTGTCCCAAGAGCTCTAAAGGTATCAAAGTTGCGTTTTTTTAAATGGAATGTCCTGTATATTATTGCATTTTTGGATTTGCTGAGCAAAATAAGTGTCTGTTTTAATAAGGTTTATAATACCTAAATATTAAGATTTTTTAAATAATACGAATTTAGTCAAAATCTAATCTAATTTTCACGTGTCAAATACTTTAGAAGTATTTAAGTTATGTAAGCGTAATTTATAGTGAAGTGTAATAAGATATAATATTTTATATCCCAATGATAATAAACTTACCATGTTATACAGGGTGTCCACAAATTTAAACTAATCAAATAAGAACTTTAAGTGGCTCTAACTTGATTAATTTAAATACAACCCCATATTTTTTAACCTACCAGGAAATGCAATTTTTAATTACCTATCGAATGGTATTAGGATGTTAATAGCTAAGTTTTTGCCTTCTTACAAAATACGTCATAATACATAATAGTCGTTCTGTGGACCATTTGGTGTTTAATTTAAGGTTCCAATGTATCTAGGTTGCCTATGCCATTTACAGATGTCAAATAATTTAGTTTGTTTGTCAGTTTAGACTGCAAAGTCTCTTTTTGATAGCTAGAATGGTATTGTTTTTTGTAATTGTAGACGTGTTTGTCGTTATTTTAATATTCTTATTGTGTTGCTAAGTGAAAATGAAGAATTATCCAAGAAAAGAGCGTATCGAAATTATTTTCACCCTTGGAGAATGTCGTAAAAATTATTTATTGTCTTCACTAGTTTATGCTCAAAAGTTTCCTGAAAAAAATCATCCTAAGCCAACAGTTTTTAAGCGTTTATTACACCAATTTGAGGAAAGTGGTAGTGTCAATTATAAAAAACCCATTACAAGGAAATCTGTCACTGAGGATGAAGAAAATGTTTTCACGGTAATTGGTTCAGTTATCGAAAACCCCAATGTTATTCAAAATCTAATATCCAAAAGTACTAACATTAATCAATCAAGTACTTCCAAAAGTATCAAAAAGCACAACTTTTATCCTTATAAAGTTCAGCTTTGCCATGAACTTTATGGAAATGATTTTGAAAACCGAACTGAGTTTTGCGTGTGGGTGTTAGATAAAGTGGCAGAAAATGAAAAGTTTTTCGAAAATGTGTT